TTTACCCATAACCAATTGGTAGTAGTATTGGCGCCGGGCCATTGCCGCGATCTTCTTGTGGGACCAACGTTTTGTTGAGTTCTTCCTGATGTCGTCACAGCGTTGGCGGAGGGCTACGTGGTCGGATGTACGCCCGCCCGTGGTTTTGTGTACAGTTTTCAGGTGAGCATAGATACTGTACGGGAAGCGCAGTGATGGTTTATCGTGGGCCCAGGCGGTTGCGTCAGAGGGGTAAGTGGATTTTTGCTTGCATTGAGTCGAGTTGTATTCCCAGGCTACCTCCGAGGTAGTCCGCGAATGGTCGCGCGGGGAGCAGACCGCAAACGTGAAGTAAGTTTGTTTGATGTTTGGGAAACCGAGGGTATTTAGTGCCCGTGGTGATGGCTGCTGCTTGGATGAGTGCTGAGTTAAAGCGCTCGAACAGGGGGTCCAACGCATCCTTCCATATAGGCGGAGCCCAGGCAATAATGTTCAGCCCATATGCAGCCGTGGATAGGATGAATGTTTTAAACATCACCAGTCGGTTGCGGGGGTGTTGCCAGCTGAAGCCATGGAAGCCATAAGCGCGGAAAGAAGCAATACCCAGTGACAATGCTGCAACCAGGGATTCCTTATGTCTAGCGAGGTTGATTCCCGGTACTCCGTGAGAGAATGAGAACCCCAGGTATTTGGAGTGTACATTTTGTGCGGAGCGGAAGGCTGTACACATGATGGTGTTGTTTATGAGAAATTTATGTCATCGACAGGATGGGTCATGTCAAAGGGTAAGTTGTACGGTTTATAGCGATTTTATTTTTAATATATATTAATTCATATTTATTCATATTTAACTGCACAACATCAGGAAAATGCACCCTTGCAGATATGGCATACCCGTTAACTTGGCATTGCCTCGTACCCTTTAAGGGTGTGAGATACCATTTAAACGACTATGGCAATAGGTCGGACCGACCACGAAGATATAAAGAACTCTTTAATCTTCAGCACAGCACGTCGAGGAAGCCGCTGAATGTGGATTGGGTATAGACAAGAAGCAATTTCCGTCATTGAAACGAGCGTGCGAGTTAGATATGTACAATGCAACACAGGCCAGCTATTTCTATGCAGTTTTTACTATTTCAAACTATATTAGGATATATGATCCAAATAAAGACGAAGGATGGAGTAATGAGGAGAATGATAACAATGAAAACTATAGTGACATGTTTGATCAATATGGTGGCAGGGATAGATATTCCCTGAATACAGGTAAGTAGTAGTATATTGTGGGCGCGTGTGTGTTTATGTATGAACATGTATAAACATATGATAGCACGTATGTGACTATATGTAAATTTACGAGTATGTGGCTATAAATAATAGATATATCTATGTCATATTATGTATGTGTCTATGTGTACATGTGTGTCTTAATTTACACAGTTTAGTAAATATAATCTTTAGAGCATGTGCATGTGCATATGCATACGCACAAGCAAAAGCATGCTTATGTATGTACATGTGCATATGTATATGCACCTGCATAAGAATGCTTATGTATGTACATATGCATATGCATATGTACATTTAATTATATAGCACATGCATAAGCATATGCACATACAT